GTCCGACGCACTTGTAAGGGAGACTTGAGTCAGAAAATACAGGGTATCTGAAGAAGTGGAAGACGGCTGTACCAAGATCGTTGCACTGTAGGTAGGTGGACAAACACGGTCTTGCTATACCCGTGCCCTATACACAGTATTAAGATATGTATCATTCCAGCAATCCTGTGGCAGACATTGTTTTATTTGGTGGTTGTTTTTTTTGTTCGTATTAGGGTGTCACTCAGAGGTGTTATGTCGTTGGGAGTCACCCTCTTGAATTTGTGTTATATGATTTTTTGGTAAATGAAACCCAGGATTGATGAACCTATAGGACACCAAGTAAAATAAGGGTTTTGAGGGGAGGGTAGAAGGGAGAGGAAAGACCAGGAAGAAAAAGTGTGTTTGGAAACTGGTTGTGGGAGCAATTATACAATTCTTCTTGGCATGATTGAACTATGGAATGATATATGTATTAACTCCCAATTTATATATATATATAAATATATATATATTTATAAAGTTAGTGTAATCCCCAAACCCATAGTGTAAGCCCATATATATATATATATATATAAAGTTAGTTGCCATAGTAACTATATTGCGTATTTTCTGGAGAAATTGTCCCTAATCAAGCAATCATTCAAGAAATATCTGCAGGAAATTTATTCATGATCTTAATTTTTTGTGGTCTTTTTAGTTTTTGTGAAAGTCTTCATTTATTTGAGAGAAGCCCAAATTAAATGGTTGGGACCTTCTATTTGAATATTGTTATTGTGCCTATTAAGCAGTAGTTTAAGAACACACCAAGCACTTTAATTTCTTGTAAAATAATTAGTGATTAGAGGGTTCCGTTAAATTTAGTCCCAAATAAACCTACCAGAATTTTATGAGAAAACCTATGTCTAGGTTTTATTTGATTTGATTTGTTTCCATTACCTCTAAGTATGCTATACTCATAAATAGACTCATGAGAGAGAGTATGGTGCAGTGGGAAGAGCAGAGGTTTTTAAATAGAGATCAATTTCACTACCTATCTACCATGCTATAACCTTTTCTGCAGAGGTACTATACATAATTCCATGGACTACCATTCCTAATCCAACAAAGCTACTATACAATACTCTAGGGCCATCATTCATATCTGTGGTGTTCCATGAGGTACCATTTTGATAGACTACCATGTGAAGTTCAGCCAGAATGCTCCTTGGAAGCAAGGATGGCAAGACTTGCTCTCACATACTTTGAACATGTCAGAAGAGATTAGTCCCTAGAAAAGGGCATTATGATTAGTAAAATGGAAGGTCAAAGGAAAAGAGGAAGACTCTATGAAATGGATTAGCAGCACAGTGGTTGTAAAAGTAGGCTCAAACATAATTGTGAGGATGGTGTGCTGCAGGATCAAGAAATGCTTTGTTCTGTTGTAGACAGGGATGCTGTGAGTGAGAACCAACTCAGTACTACCTAACAAAAACCATGTAAATCGTGTTCCTTGTGAATATTGTAATGATGGCTTTGCCCTCTCAGCCTCGGTTTCCTCTTCATTAAATTGGTGCCTAAAAGAAAGTGCTACAAGAATAACCAAAATGAAGTAAAAATGGAAGGTAATTAAAGAATGTTATCATTTCCCAAGCCCCGGAAAGATGGCTCTGGCTACTGCTAGACATCATCTTACACTGCCACCACTTCTCTTCAGCCTCTTTGCTCTGTCACATTGAGTTTGCCTGGATATTGTGGTAGCTTCCTCTCTCATATTATACCTAATTGTTCCAAAACATGCTCTTTGTAGAAGCTAAACTACTAAAGTTCAAATCTGAGTGCGTCACAGACTTACATTTCCCTACAGTGTACCATTTTGTTTCATGCTTCCGTTCTTTTCTGTGTATTTTACTTTTAATATTAAAATGGTTACTAGCCCAGATTTTTGGATTCTTGATGGCAGAAGTTATAACTTTTACATCTAACAATGCCCGACATGTCTATTCATGACCACAATAACTTAACACTTGCTCAATACTAGTATTTGATACAAAATTCTCCCATTGAATTTTCAAACAGTTTAGTGAAGAAGATATGGTAATTCTACTTTTAGAGAGGACCAGAAAATGATCTCAGGAATTGCCAAAGGCCACACAACTAATTACTTGGTGGGAGATCCATTTCTAAATTAGATGTATTTAATTCCAGACTCAACCTCACCCTGAGTTACTCAACAAGCGTGTACGGAAATGAAATCTATGTATACATGGCCACTCTAGGCAACTATTTATTTACCAAACTCAGTGCCATTGAGCTGGTACCGCCTCAGAGAGCTTCTAGGACAGGTCAGAACTGCCCCTGTGGGTTTCCAAGCCTCGCTCTATGGGAGTTGGTCTTGACAGGAGTAGGAGAAGGCCTCATTTTTCTCACCTATGGTCAGCAGTCCGCCATGGAACCACTGCCCCACAGGGCTACTCTGGCATTCTCAGGGCACCCCCAGCTGTATTCCTGTTAGGTTCTTTGAGTTTGAGGCACAAGAAACCCAAAAGGGGTAAGATCAAGGGGATAGGGTGGATGGGGTAAGGTTTCTCAATGGAATTTTCATCAGACATCCCTGCTACCCTCAAAGAAGGAGCAGGTACATTGTTGGTGGTGGGGCGGGGGAACTCCTCCTACCCTTTTTTTTTTTAACTTTTTTTTTTCCTCCTAACTTTTATGGTCTTTTTCTCACCAATGCAGTTTTCAGTTTTCTTAAAACTTCCTACTAACTTCCCATGACCTTCCTGTGCCCCTGGAGAAAGTCAAGAAGACCCCTTTGAAGGCCTAAGAAGCAGTTCCCATAACCGGAGCTGACCTCTGCCTTGAATTTAACTGGCCTAGTGGTTCTCGGATGCTGCTGTTTTGATTGGGCTTTTTTTTAAGCATCCTGGTGAGACTTGGTTCAAACCCACTTGCATCATAAAGAGAAAGATACAGTTGCTCCCATATAAATTTACAGCCTGGGAAACCCTTTGAAAATTATTACAGCTTTTCCCCTCGAGCTTTGCCCGCCCGGAGCCCTCTGCTCCCGGCAGCCAGAATGCAGGGGTAGAGCAGGCTCGGCCGCCCAAGGGGCGGGCGGTAGTGCCCGTGCCGGGGCTGCCGAGGTACAGGTGGGGAAAAAAAGAAAATTATTACAGCAATTCATTCATGTGTTAAAGGGTCACTAAGTTGGAATCAACTCATAGATAGTGGTTTAATCAGACTGAGACAAGTGTATTACTGAAAGAACTTGTCTGTAGCCATCTATTAATCATGGAAAAATGCTTAAATATGTTTTGTTTGGAATAAACCTGTGCATATGCGAACTGAACCCTAATAGCAATATTTTTGACTTTATTACATATTATATCCTATGACGAACATTTGACTAACATTAGCCATAAACTGTTCTGACAATGTACAAATTCCATTTAAAGAGGAATTTATGAACAGGGCTCATTCTTAATCCAGAGACTGCCTGTAATTAATGAAAGTCTATAAAGATTGTTTGGAAAGTACATTTATCAGAATTGGGTTACTTATGTTGATTTACTTGACACTTGTTTCTAAGAAAAGTTTTGCCACCTTTTAGACATCCTCTGTCAAAGGAACAAAACCCAAAACTCTTACAGAAAATGACAAAGTATAAGAAGCTCTAAGTCTCTCCACCAAAATGACAGTCGAACTGGGGGAAAATGACAACGAATTTGGAGCTCTGGATCCTGATCCACACAGGACAGCCAGCTTCCCTCCTATTCTCAGCCTTTCCCTGGCGGTGTAGAGAATGACTGCTTAGTAATACCTCGGAAGTTGGCTTGTGTATCGGGATTTGGGGTTGCAGTCTGCACAGTTGGGTCAATCGGGCAGTTAGTGCTTGTGTGAACAGTGTTGACAATTGCCATGGGTACACCATCTCAGGAGGCTGTCATCTTCCAGGAGCGGAGCTTAAAGAACCAGCACACCTGCGTTTTGCGTGTGAAAT